GGCCATTTGAGAGTCCGGCACCCTTAACCACCATGCCACCTGCTGGTCCCCCAAGTATACTGTTTTAAATACTGAAATATGGAATAAATATTTAAGTATAAGTGATTAATAATAATTGTGGAAAAGTGAAACAAAGCTCTCCAAAATAAGGAAAAAGTGGTGTCACTTTTTGCCATAAAATACAATTTTTTTAGCTACCAAGTATTATGATCATAAATTGTTTAATAAATGGTACGTGAATTTTCTAACTTGAGAAGAAAATCTTGATTAAAATCCAGCAATTAGACTATCAGAAGACGTAGAGGCTAATGTCTGAGGCATTTTGTCAATACTACCTCATCGGAAATAATCAATTTTTAAAAATTTTTTTTTACTTTTTTGGAGAGGTTTTCACTATAGGGCGCGTGGGCTCGCCAGACAGACAGAGACATAGAGACAGAAAGCAAGAAATCACCCCCCAGGGAGGATGGCCATGCCGTAATCCCTTCTCCATTCTCCTCTCGGGATCTTGGGCACGCACGCACACGCGCCCGGCGTGAGTTTTAAGCCACTGGGTCTGGGACGCAAACCGCGGTCGACTACATGGGAGTCCAGTGACATAGCCATTACGCTAACTGCTGGTTCCCTTATTTTATTTATTTTATTTATCTATTTATTTTTTGGAGAGGTTTTCACTATAGGACGTGTGCGCTCGCCAGACAGACAGAGAGAGACATAGAGACAGAAAGCGAGAAATCACCTCCGCGGGGATGGGAAAATAATCAATTTGAAATATGTATGCCACACGAAACACTAACAGGCTCTTCCATTGTATTACAATGTGGGTGGGCAAAGGCTGCAGTGAAAGTTGTTAAATTTACTCAACATCACTTCCACCTTCCCTAGTGTCAAGGCACTGCCCCTCCCCCCATGACCACGAACACATACCATGGAAACTTAGGACACATTGTTTTTAGAAGACATGGAGGAAAGACTTGACTTCTAGAAATCCATCAAGTTTAAGAGACTGGGTATTATTTTAATCATTCTGATAAAAAAGAAAAAAGAAACTTCAATTGTCAGAATTGTCAAGTATCCTTAGATAAAGAATTCCACATTAGTGTGGTTACTATGAAAAAAGACACAATTATAAGAGTATGTGAAGTGACTGGGTAATTATTCTTTGCTGGTACCTGTGGCTGCAAGGGAAAGAAGCAAAAAGGCAGTCTGACAGTAAAAGCATCACTTGAGACTCAGAAGTGAATCATTCATTGCCTGAGAGAAAGAGGGAGAGAGAGAGAGAAACATGGACACGTGTGTGCAATCCCAGTGTGCTTAGGGAGATAAACCTAGGCAATTCAAAATAAAAACAGTCTACATTCAATCTCTCTCTCCCTCCTGCCTTCCTTCTCCCCTCTGCCCATCTCCCTCTCCTGCTTGAAAAACATGCTGGACTCGTGTGTGTGTGTGTGTGTGTGTGTGTGTTCCCTAATCTCCACAAGATGGAGAAATGGAGTAGAAGCAATTTCAGTGTGACCATGCCCCATTGGGATGGTGCTCTCTCCCTCTCCTCTGTGTATCTCTGGCTAGCTCTTGCACCCTTTGACAGTTAAAAGAAAAAACGACAAAGGTGACAGTGATTATTTAACTGACTATATATAGTCCTGGAGCAAGTGAAAGGAGCTGATTTAAGGAGTTCAAATGGAAAAAATAGGTCTAGAGAAGAGTGTCTCTTTCTGAGAGGAGAGCAGGAAGAAAGATGGGGCATAACTAAGATTAGGAGAGGCCAGTAGCTGCCGAAAGGCCTCACTTAATAATCTCTTTAACATAGACTTTAAGTGCCTACAGTATATACATTACCAAAATCCTGAACAAGACACAGACCATGTTCTCAAAATGCTTATATGTGGAAGAAAAGACAAGTGCAGAGATAGTTTTAGACATTGGGAACCCAAACTATATCTAGAGTTATACATTTCTCTACACCTTGGTTTCTTTCTCCACTTCACAGGTTAGTGATGAGGTTCGAATGGTATACTAAAAAAAATGAAATGCTAAATAAAGGTCTTGCCGTTGATGAGCAATCAGTTCCCAAGAGAATGACAGACGATGAAAAAAAAATGTGGTATTTGGTTGGAGCAGTAAAGGAGTGAAGTTTATCCTCCTAGGAAGGGTAGGATTTAAGAACTAAAAAGGAAGAGAAATTTTTTATTTTTTAGAGAGTTTTTTGCTATAGGGCGCGTGCACTTGCCAAACAGACAGAGAGACATAGAGACAGAAAGCGAGAATTCCCCCCCCTGGGGGGATGGTCACGCCACAGTCCCTTCTCCTTCATTCTCCTCTCGGGATCTTGGGCACGCATGCACATGCACCCAGCGTGAGTTTTAAGCCACCAGGTCCGGGACTCGAACCGCAGTCGACTATGTGGGAGTCCAGCAACATAGCCATTACGCTAACTGCTGGTTCCCAAAGGAAGAGAAATTTTGAAAGAATGTGGGTGTGGGGGCGGACAGTTTGAAGTTAAAATAATATAAAGTCAAAACTCAGGAAGATTTAAGACTTCAATAAATCAGATACTCAGTTACAAAGTACCCCTAGTTTAAAAAATGTTTTGAGCATCCCATTCCTTTTCTCACTTAACATTTCCTAGAGTCTTAACAGAATTATGTGATCTAAAGAAGAAATACATCCCAGAAATCACATGTTAGTTGACTCTCTTTCGTGACCCTCATGGTCTCATTCCCTTTGTCATCCAGGGTAGATTTAATGATTCTGCATTATGATCACTCTTACTCCTCTATCTATTGGGTCATGGGAAAAGTCATGACACATTTTTGCATAGAAAAATATGTCATGTCTTTTCTGACGACTCAGTAATTCGTCAGCCTCTTGTCCCTCTCCCCCTGACTTATACTGGCCTGGAAGAACAGTAACCCTGATGGAACTTATTGTTTGCTTTCTCAATGTCTTTTTGTTTTGTTTTGTTTTGTTTTTGGAGAGGTTTTTGCTATTGGGCGCATGTGCTTGCGAGAAAGACAGAGACAGAGAGACAAAAAGCGAGAAATCACCCCCAGGGGGAAATGGCCACACCACAATCCCTTCTCCTCCATTCTCCTCTTGGGATCTTGGGCACGCATGCACACGTGCCCAGCGTGAGTTTAAGCCACCAGGTCTGAGACTTGAACCACGGTCACCTATATGAGAGTCCAGCAATGTAGCCATTATGCCAACTGCTGGTCCCTCTCAATGTCTTTTTTTTTTTGGAGAGGTTTTCGCTATAGGGTGCATGTGCTCGCCAGACAGAGAGAGATACAGAGACAGAAAGCGAGAAATCACCCCCCAGGGGGGATGGTCACACCACAATCCCTTCTCCTCCATTCTCCTCTCAGGATCTTGGGCACACATGCACACACACCTGGCGTGAGTTCTAAGCCACCGGGTCCGGGACGCGAACTGTGGTCGACCACATGGGAGTCCAGCGACATAGCCATTACGCTAACTGCTGGTTCCCCCTCTCAATGTCTTTTAATAGCCTTCTTTAGGGGGGAAAATTTGGTCATGCTACATGTTTGCATAGGGCTGCCACCAGCTGCAAGGCATACAGGACAGATTGGTATCTGAGAGTCAGAAAGTCACACAATGTGAGCTAAGAGAATGCATCATCTTTAGGTTGGGACTTCAGAAAGTTTGCAGGAAAAATGACATTAAAGTGTTAATTCTTTCAATCTAAAGTCTGAAATCTATGTATAGTTTTTTTCATAGTGTGCATTTTCCACAAACTTTTGAAGGCCTCTTATATTCTTTATTTCTTTACTATTGTTTGTCCTTCCTCTTCTTATTTACAGGCTTCTTCAGTTAAATATTTAGCTTATTTATTTTTCAAAACTTCCTATTTTTTTGTGGCCACCAGGCAGCATGGTGGTTAGGGGTGCTGGACTCCCACATGGTGGACCATGGTTCGAGTCCCAGACCTGGAGGCTTGCTTTCTCACTTTCTATCTCACTTTGTCCCTCTCTGGTCAAATTAAAATAAAATGAAATAAATTAAATAAAATTAAAACAAATATTTTTAAAATCGCTCTTCTTTTTAAAATTGTATTATTTAACTTTATTTATTTATATTTATGTTTTTAATTTGGCCAGAGAGGGACAGAAAGAGAGGGAGAGAGGGAAAGTAAGAAAGTAAGCCACCAGGTCTGGGACTCAGACCATGGTCAGCCATGTGGGAGTCCAATGGCTTTAACCACCATGCCGCCTGCTGGGCCCTCAATTTTTCTTCTAATACAATGAAATGTGCTTCCTTTAATGCTTTTCCACCTAAACTCTTCTTAAACTAATAAACAGAAATTTGTGAAAATTATCACCATTTGATGAGTTATCACAACTAGCTATTCTGATGGGTATGTAATGACCACGTGGACTTGGAACAAGTTAACATTAGTCTAGAAAACTCCCTTGTGTGCCGGTCTCAGTTACCCTTTCCCAAGGGTAATGGCTGCCATGTCTTCACATATAGATTACTTTGCTTACTTTTGATGTTCATGTAAGTGGGATCATGTAGTAGGTATTCTTTTGGGTTATATAATGTAATTTGTTTAGTATCTTTATAAAATCTATACCTGTATTTTTATGTAGCTTCTGATTACTGTCTTTGCTTTGTGGTATTCTATTGTATATTCATGTAATGGAATATACTGATCCATTCTATTGTTGATAGACATTTGGATTATTTACAGGACTTGGCTACTGGAAACATTGTAGTCTTAGACATTACTTTTCGCACACAACTCACAACATTTCCTAGGCACATGGAACATTTGGTTCATATCACATACATCCCCTCTAGGAGGGAATGAGAATTCCCATTGTCCACATTGACACCATGAATTGTATTGTCAGTCTTGAAAAGTTTTAACCTCTCCTTGTAATAGTAATATCCCATTGCAGTACGTAATTTGTACTCCCCTAGTAATTTGTTTAAAAAATTTTATTTTCAATCTTTCTGTATTTTTTTTTTTTCAGATTTTGAGTTAAATACTACGCTGAAGATACTCTCTGTTACATTTGGATCACCCATTCAGATCTTGGTAACTCAAGATCTCAGGACAACGGAGCCAGGAATCAACGAAAGAACATAACAGAGACAGCTGCCATCAGTGCCTGGACAGACCTGCTGTCCAGGGTGGAGTTTCTCTGGCAAACCCACAAGTCTAAGAAAGACTATCATTTCATTTACAACACAGTTGGTAGACAGTGCTGTTTCATAGATGCATCAACCTTTTTTCTAGAAAAAAAAAAAAGTAGTATTTTCCTGCATTTCAAGTATCTGAACATACCTGAACACTGGGAGTTTGCTGCTAATTAAATTGAAATTATGAAGTCTAAGGCCAACCGTGCTCAAAATCCAAATTGTAGCATAATGATATTTCATCCAACCAAAGAAGAATTTCATGATTTTGACAAATACATCGCTCACATGGAATCCCAGGGAGCACACCGGGCTGGCCTGGCCAAGGTAGTTCCACCCAAGGAGTGGAAGGCCAGACAGACCTATGATGACATTGGGGACATCTTGATAGCCACTCCCCTCCAGCAGGTGGCCTCTGGGCAGGCAGGAGTGTTTACTCAATACCATAAAAAGAAGAAAGCCATGACCGTGAGGCAGTACCACCACCTGGCCAACAGCGAGAAATACCGGACCCCCGAGCACCTGAACTTCGACGACTTGGAGCGTAAGTACTGGAAGAGCCGTCTCTACCACTCGCCGATTTATGGCGCTGACATCAGCGGCTCCTTATTCGACCAAAGCACGAAGCAGTGGAACCTGGGCCACCTGGGCACCATCCAGGATCTGCTGGAACAGGAGTGCGGCGTGGTCATCGAGGGCGTGAACACCCCCTACCTGTACTTCGGCATGTGGAAGACCACGTTCGCATGGCACACGGAGGACATGGACCTGTACAGCATCAACTACCTGCATTTCGGGGAGCCCAAGACATGGTACGCAGTGCCCCCCGAACACGGCCAGCGCCTGGAACGCCTGGCCAGGGAGCTGTTCCCGGGCAGTGCCCGGGGCTGCGAGGCCTTCTTGCGGCACAAGGTGGCCCTCATCTCGCCCACGGTCCTCAGGGAGAACGGGATTCCCTTTGGTCGCATGACGCAGGAGGCCGGCGAGTTCATGGTGACCTTCCCCTATGGCTACCACGCCGGCTTCAACCACGGCTTCAACTGCGCGGAAGCCATCAACTTCGCCACGCCGCGGTGGATCGACTATGGCCAAGTGGCCTCACAGTGCAGCTGTGGGGAGGCCCGGGTCAGCTTTTCCATGGATGCCTTCGTGCGCATCCTTCAGCCTGAGCGCTACGAGCTGTGGAAACGTGGGCAAGATCTGACGATGGTGGAGCACAGTGAGCCCAGGACGCTGGCTGGTCAGGAGCTGCATGCTTGGAGGAAGGACCAGGGGCCCAGGAGAGCCGCGGAAGGCCTGAGGCCTCTCCACAAGCGCCGGGTGGGACGCCCCCGTCGCACTGTGGCCTCTAGTGTTGGGACTCACCACGGAGCCCTCTTGGATCCTGTGTCCCTTCCCAGTGATGCTGTCACCCAGCCCAGAGACACTTCTGACCACACCTCCCCACAGCTCAGCTCAGCCTTCCAACCCACCCCAGACTCCTCTTCCCAAATTCTCCACCCATCAACTGGCAGACGTGGTCGTGGTCGTGGTCGTGGTTGTGGTGGTGGCAACAGTGGTGGTGGCCGTGGTCGTGGTGGTGGCCGTGGTCGTGGTGGCCGTGGACGTGGCAGTGGCCGTGGTGGTGGTCGTCCTCCTCGTGAACTGGGGACTCAGGAACCCACCATCAGGGCTCCAGCCAAGAGGCGCCTCTCAGGAACTGCACGCCCTGGGCAGGACCCTGCGTGCCAGCCCCTGTTTGCTGATGTATCTCTGGTGCTCAACTCTGACCACTGAGCCTTGGGCTCCAGCGTCCTGCCAAGGCTTCCAGATGCTGCTGAGCTCCTCTCCCCAATCTCCCCTGCCACCTTTCTACTCCTGCTGTTTGGAGTCTTGCAGGGAATGGTTGTATTTACATCTCTGAGCTTTGGGCAAGTTTTCAAGACAATGATGGTGTCTGAGAGCGCTGCCTCTGATGTCATGACCCTGCTGAGTTCTTGGTATCAAGGCCACTGTGCTTTGTTCTTGCTTCCAGACTCGACTGCCTTTGGACATTTCTGACCTCTGTCTCCAGCCAAGGTTTCATCCACTAGGCACTGGAGTCTCTGTGCACGAAGTCCCCAGAGGTTGCCCCAACTTGGTTTATCCCAGACTCCAGTTCTCTGAGTCAATGGTGGAGGCTGGGGAACTGCTGAAGAATCCTAGGCACTGGTTCTCCTTCAGTCTCCCTCCCTTTTTTCTTCCCCTTCTCTTCACCCAGTTCTTGCAAAGTGAGGTGCTTTAGACTAATTAGTTCAATGGAGCCACACACACACACACACACATACACACACAAATGTATGACCTCTCTAAGTTATTGATGTATTTATAACATGTTGTCATCAGTATTTGTTCACAAATATATTAAAGGTAACCAAATTTAAAATATGACTTGTTATTAATTTTATAGTTTGAATCAAATGGAGGCTGTTCTTTGCACTTAATAATTATTTTCAGAACATTTAAGACAAAACTGAGCTTTATGGGCTGGTGGCTTCCTGTGGTGGTAGACAATGAGTTTGGGGGATGGTTATTGGTTTCTGGCTGCCTGCCTGCCTGGGGGGATTTAATTTGCAGCTGTGTTTTGAGATGACTTGGTAGAGTCAGACAGGTACCTGTGGGACAGTAGGACACGTGTTGCTGGAGAGAGGAGCAAGCACAGTCAAATGATGACATCTTCTCTCCAAGTCTCTTCTGTCTTTTCTAAGCTGTTTGCATTGTTAGTTCCCTTATTCAAGTCTGCAAGTCCTTAAGACATTTGCCCAGTACTATGTTCTGTGAAGCATGAAAGCAAAATCAGACAGGAGAGCAGACTGTGCCTACCTTGGTCATGGTCAGGGAAGGTTTCACAGACTAGACCTGTATGAGACCCATTGACGAAAATGGAAGATTCAGAGAACTTTCCACTTAGAGGGAGAAACAAGTGCGGTAGACCTTAGTGGAATCTGGTGTTTTTGCTTCTCCAGAGATAGAAATAAAGCTTGTGTCTGAGAGAGAGGAAGGAGGGAGGCAAAGGCCTGGGCATAAGTAAATGATAAGCATTTGAGATTTCTTCCCTTTCAAATGAGATGGCATTGGCAGGTGAACACAGCTGTTGATGTATTTGATTTACATATTTAAATAACCAGCTTAGTTCTGTAGACAATATGAAGTGGAGGAAGCAGTGAGATCAACTGGTAAAAGTGAGGGTGGTGGTTTCTTAACTTCTGACAATACCGAAAGTGGTGAACTTGTCATACAGGACCTTTATTAAGTTGAGATTCCTTGCATATCTAATCTTTGAGAGTTTTTATCATAAAAGGATATTGAATTTTGTCAAATGCTTTTTTTGCATCTATTGAGATGGTCATCTTTATAACTCATTCTGTTGATATGGTTTATCATATTTATTGATTTGCATTGGTTGTTCCTTTTGATGGTGTTGTGGAGTAGCTCAATATTGTACCTGTGTTACTCGAAATATTGGCCTCTAATTTTCTTTACTTATAGTGTCCTTCTCTGGCTGTGGTAAAACAGTAATGCTGGCTTCCTAAAATAAGTCTGGAAGTGTTCTCATAGCTTCAGTTTTTTTTGAAGAACAAAGAAGAATTGGCATTTATTGTGCTTTTAACGTTATAATTCAGCAGTAAGTGGACCAGCAGTTAGCGTAATGGCTATGTCGCTGGACTCCCATGTAGTCGACTGCGGTCTGAATCCTGGACCCAGTGGCCTAAACTCATGCCAGGCACGTTTGCATGCGTGTCCAAGATCCTGAGAGGAGAGTGGAGGAGAAGGGATTGCCGCGTGGCCATCCCCTCTGGTGGGTGATTTCTCGCTTTCTGTCTCTCTGTCTCTCTCTGTCTGTCTGGTGAGCGCATGTGCCCTATAGCAAAAACCTCGCCAACAAAAAATAATAATAATTCAGCAGTGAGGACATCAGGTAGGTCCTGCCCTTTGCTATTTCAGGAGTTTTTTGACTACTGAATCAATCTTCTTTCTCACTATTGGTCTGTTCAGATTTTTTATTTCTTCATGACTCAATCTTGGTAAGGTGTATGTGTCTAGGAAATTTTCCATTTCTTCTAAACTATCCAATTGCTGTTATGTAATTATAATAGTGTGTATAACCCTTTGTATCTCTGTGGCAGCAGTTGTTATATATAATTTAATTTTATTCAAGTCTTCTCTCTTTTTTTCTTAAGTTAGCTAAGGTTTGTGTTTTTTCCTAGAAAAACCAAGTCTGAATTTTATGATCTTTTCTGTTGTTTTCTAGTCTCTATTTCACTTATATTTTCTGTTTTTTTTTTTTTTTTCTGTTTTTTATTTTTTT